GGCCAATGCGCACTCCCGAAGCAGTGAGGAGTACCACATCCGCACTTTCACCAGCGTGTTGCTGCGCCGGCCAGACATCGCGGACGCTACATCGACATCGGCTGCCGCCTGAAAGCAAGCCTGCTAGCGGCGCTGCAGCGCCATGTGGACGCTGGTGACCTGGCACCTGGGGTTTTGGAGAAGGTGAGAAGGCATGGGCGGACCTCTGGCACTCTGGTGGCCACATTCATGCCTAAGGCCGATGCCTCGTGCCCTATGCAGCTGAATGTGATGGTGCCGTGGATGCATGCATTTGACCATGACGTGCCCTGCCAGCTGCAGTTCAGCGGCTTGTACCAGGTATGAAGCCTTCCATGCAATCTCGCCCAGCCGCCACCTTCCTCCCACGCACGACTGACCCTCACCACATTGCCCATGCCCCATCCCTGCTGCTTGCAGGAAGGCGTGGGTCGCCGTGTTGGTGAGCAGTCTGAGCAGGTTTGGTCGCGTGTGAAGCCTTTCTCTCTTGTCGCTCGCTACATGGCGCCCCCCCGCTGGTGGGATGGCTACAACTCGTTGTTCGCACTGCTGGGGCAGCTGGTGCAGCGTGACCTGCCGCAGCTGCTGGAAAAGAAGCTGAAGAACATTGGCAACACCATTAGTGCGTGTGCATTGCGCTGCATTGTTTGCCTCTCCTGCATTTTGTTCCGTTGTGGTGGCACCAGAAAGCCCCAACTGTGATGGCTTTCACACACAGCCCGATGCTGCCTGCGCCCTGCCTGCGCCCTGCCTGCAGGTCAGCACGAGAAGGGGATTGAGGACTTGAGGGTCGAGGCCTCCGCTGCTGGTGTGGCTGATTTGGAGGCAGCGCTGGCTTCTCTTCAACCCATCGGGCCGGCATCGACTGTTGGCATCAGCACAAAGGTGCGCTTGGTAGGTGATTCATATGATGCTGGCGCTGCTGATGTGGCAAAGCCATGCCACCGTCCATCGTCTACAGTGTGCTCCGTTCCGTGCCTGCCACAGGTGCGCTATGTTGAGGCGCTGATGAGGTGGAACGCGCACCAGGAGATGCGCAAGCAGAAGATGGGCTTGAGCATGGTCCTGCAGGGCCCGATGGCTGTGCATGTACATGCCAAGGCCAGCGACAACAAGAAGGAGGAGCAGTTGCGCAAGGCGGTCGTTGCATGCGAGATGGAGCTTCAGATTGATCCAGGCAAGCTTGCTGGGCCGTGTGTTGTTGGATGGGCCCTGTGTTGTTGGCTGTGTGTCTGTTTTGTGCTATTGCGAATGTGCTCAGCAACCAACTGTGCAGGTCGGGCCACTGCTTGGTTATGCGCTCCAGCACTGCGGCGGCAAAGCCCACCTCGCCT